GATGCCACCTGGCGGCGCCCGCTGCGCACCTGCTCCTGCGCGGGGCCTGGGCTGGGGGGCGGGGCGGCGGCCACGATCTGAGCCTTTATGCCCCTCCATTCGGTACATCTGAGTCCAATGACCTGGCGTTCTCTATCCACCTTGCTCTAAATAGAATCGGGGACTTTTTTTTTAAAAAGTACACTTGTTATTACTACTCACTGACATCCACAGTCGTGTATCAGCTAATTGCACAGATCCACTTTGCCCTCTTCAGTTGCCCCACTTTCTACCTCCTTTTATGGTTTTTCTCCTTTCCCTTTAACCTCCGCTCCACTCCATTATTATTTCATCAATCTTGTCTCTTTATGACACATGACGTTATGCTTGTCCTATTCTATTTGGGTCTGTATTCCCCCTCCCACATATTTGTATTTGTATTTCTCTTTCTCTCATAACATTTTTCTTGATCCTGGCCCACTCTCCTTTTTTCCCTTGAAACCTAAGGATTTTCCTGAAAGTTCTCCTAGAGGTGATGGTCTTCTTTACATATGTTCTTTTGCACCCCTTCTCACAAGTAGATGCCTGTTTTGGTGATGGCTTGGGAGAGTGAGGGTCTGTACTAAGCACTTTTGGGAAAAGGCTAGAAATGTGAAGCCTGGGGAGAGGCTCAGGGAACCAGGGGAGGGACTTTACGTTTTTGAAAATTTTTCTGAGTTCTCATTTTTCTAAAGGGTGAAAAAGAGGAAACTCCATTTTTGCACCTGAATGTTAGTTTGTGTCGGTCTCTAGGCAGCTCTAAGTGGCAATCTGTCGTCGTCCTCCTTTACCCAGTGGTTCATCCCCACGGGGTGAATGTATGTACCCGTTCCAGCAAAGGCATTCAGGCACTTGTGTCACTAAATCTCTAAAAATCCAAGTTGTTGCACTTGGCATTCTTACTCTTGGTGTTTCCCTGGAAGAGATGTGGAAAATGAAGAGGATGAGGGGATGGCTCGCACACAAAGTGAAAAGAAGGGGCCAGGGAAGTTCAGGAAAGAAAGAAAGAAGTTGAAATGTTATTATGCATTTTTTTTCATTCTAAATAAAGACAGCATAAATGTGTTTAGGCAAGAGGCCTTATTTTCTTCCTAAGCAATTGTGTATCTATAATTTAGCTTTGTAGAGGTGGAAAATATTCCTGCTATTTTCCATCCATTTAAATTAAAAACCAAATCCTTATATTGTGAACTTAAGAAAATTTCTCATAGAGGTGCTTTTCTCTTAGCGTCAGTGCTCTTGTGAGGAAACATACAGCCTGAGTTAGATTGAAAGGAATTACCTGGGATGTTCTAGCTGTTGTGGCCAGTGAGTGTTTGTTCTCCTCAAATATTAAAGTTAAATTACCTAAGCACATTAAAATTAATTTTGCAGACCTGCTAGGTTTTTAAGAGTGCTAATAGTTGTCACTGTCCGGACTTTAATGGCCACAAATCAGCTGAAGGGAATGATCACTGATCACTGGTTTCTCCCTGTTGGTTGCCTGTCTCTTGGAAACAATGGGATAGTAGCAGTCGATGATGATTTTTAATGGAGGACCAGAGGTAGCTCTATAATTTTGGGGGCTCCTTGGCTGACATGAAGAACTGCAGGAAATAACTGCACTGCCAGGATGACCCACTGGTGGGAATTTACTGTCTGTGCTGCTCTTTTAGTTAACATCCATCCAAAGAGAGATGCTAAAAAATGGAAGAAACCATTATACCTCTTAATATGGAATATATTAAACAAAGTATAGTTCGCAAAGTAGAAGGCTGAGCTAAAGACCCAAGTTTCTACTGTGACTGTCATTGTCTCACTGATACTACTTTGCCTTTCTGTGCTTTCTTTTTTTTTCCCCATAAAAAGGCACTAATGATAATTTTCGACACTTCCCCTACCTAGAGATGACAAAAGGATGCTACAGTGAATGTTAAGGTATCTTGAGCTCCTTAAAAGGTGCTAAATAAATACAGAAGAATCTCCTTTCAGAAAAAGGTGGTCTTCTTTCTCATACTGATTCCCTATTAATTCTAGATTGATCCAAAGACAATTAAATGATAGGAAATATATAGCAAATATAGGTCTGTTGTCTGTGTACTATAGAGATGTATATGACAAATGTAAACAGAATGAAATGAAGACAATGATGAAAAACTGTTTGGGGGATGTGGTAAAGAGATTGTGAAACCCATATTTGACCATAAAAGGTTTTTTTCCCCCTGATTTGTTTAAACAAAGCTTTTTGTGAAATGGTGATCTGACTTCTTTCTGATCTCTGTGGTGTGCTGTGGTATCAAATGTTGGTTATGTGTCATGGATGGAACCTTCAACAAGAGTTGGGACAGAAAGTGCCCTGTTTTAACGCTATATCTACTGTTAGTCTCATAAGAAAATTCTTTAAAACACAAGTTGGCTGTGCAGTAAAAGAGAGTTGAAAGGGAAATGGAGTCTAGTGTTTTCTATCCACGTTTAATTCAGCTATCTGAAGAAGGAAGAATTAATTTCTTCTCCACCTGTAAGCTCAGAGAGCAGTTTGAATATGAAGTACTGGAACCTCCCTATGGCAGGGCAATCTTGCTGTGTAACAAGCTACACCAAAACTCAGTGGTTGAAAACAACCGCCATTCATTTAGCTCCCAGTTCTGTGGGTTGGCTGAGCTTGGTTGGTTCTTTAGGCGTGAGCAAGCCCACATGCAGTCTGCAGGCTCGCTGGCTGGCTGGGGGTTGGCTGGGCTAGACTGAGCCCTCTCTACATGGCCCCTCACTATGCCCAGCAGACTAGCCTGGCCACCTTCTCACAGTGATGTCTGGGTTCCCAGAGAGCAGTAGAACCATTCTGTTGGCCAAAGCAAGACACAGGGCAGCCCAGATTCAAGGGCTGGGAAAACAGTTACAGAGTGACATTGAGAGAGTGGTGGATACAAGGAGGGGAAGACTGGGGCCCTTCTTGCCAGCTCTCTACCACAGGGACATTGTTCATAATAAAATGGTGCAGGGCAGAGTGCCTCTGGGAGCAGGAGAGGGGCCTCTCCCAGTGCCTAATAAGTGCTTCCTTCCATAGTGACCACATTCCTTTAATGCAGAGTACAGTGAATTCTTACAAGTGAGAGACCCTCACATTCATATTTACATATTGAAATTCCTTCCAAATATCCATGTTTGGGGAACTGGGTCTCCTGTACTACTGCATTTCACTGGCACAGATCATGGAAAAGTGTGGATTTGTAAAGTCAAGAAAACTGGTGAGATCCTTTGGGTAGAGGCACCAACTACATAAACAAATAAACGATGTCGTGTTCACCCTTTATGCTGATTCAACAAACTGTGGTAGGTACCAGGCAAAGGGTGAGTTTGAGCAAGAGTACTGTCTTTGTTGGAAGAGGCATAGTTTTGAAATGTTTATTCTTTGACGGTCTCTGATGGCAGATGACTTCCTTTGGCCATCTAATTTGGGGAGCTATGGGATGTTCTGGGCATGAGTTGCATAGGCCCCTTTTGGGAGAAGGGATAAAGAATTCAACAGCCTAAACATTCAGTGGATGAGTCATCATTTTTAGTTAGTGTACTTTTGATGTTTGGGCCCTGAGCATCCCTGAGAAAGGAGATGAAGGTAGCTGGAGAGTCCCAGAGAGTCTAGGGATGTCCTGCAGGGCTAGGGAAGACTGTGGACATTACTCTACTCCAGAGCACCAGGGAGGCTGCTGGGGAGGGGTTATCTGTGGAATTCCTGACCCCCCAGGACTATGCTGGTAAGCAGACTACCATGCAACTACTAAGCCTTGCCAAAAATATATGGGCAACTGAAATTGGGCAGGGGTGGGGCCAGCAGTGGGCAGAGGCATGTCAGGTAGTGTCACTGAAGCCAGTCTGTGAGGTACAGGGGAGCCGCAGATGCAGAAACCCCAGACCAGCACTCTCACAGCAGCCCCTGCTAAGGCATTGTCTCCCTTGGTCAAACAGCCCAATATTCCCCAAAGTTTGAAAAAGAGAAGGATTTACTAAATTTCCAAGTGAGGATGGATGACTAAGTGACCTCTGGTGTGACCCTCTGTGACCTTCTCCACCATGGTTTCTCATGGCTGTTGAGAGTCTGACTTTCGGTCTCTCCACCTCACTACTCCAGCCAAGTTGTTGGCTGCATCAGCAGTTAGTTCCTTCTTATTGCCGAGTAGTATTCCACTAATGGACGTACCGCAGTTTATGTAGTCACCTACACTTGGATTCTTTCCAGTTTGGGGCAGTTACAAATAAAGCTGCTATAAAAATTTGTGTGGACATGTATTTTCATTTCTCTTGAGTAAGTACCCAGGTGTGGGATTATGGGATCGTATGGTAAATATATATTTATAAGAAACTGCAAAATTGTTTTCCAAAGTGGCTGTACCATGCTGCATTCCTGTCAGCACTGAAGGAGGGTTCCAGTTGCTCCACATCCTCATCGGCACCTGATATTGTCAGTTGTATGTTTATTTCGCTTTTAGCCATTCTAATAGATGCATAGTGTCTCACTGTGGCTTTAATTTAATTTACATTTGTGAATGACTTCACATCTTTTCATGTGCTTATTTGGCCATCTTTATCTCTTGTTTGGTGAAGTGTGTATTCAAATCTTTTGCCTATTGTTAATTGGTTTGTTTATTCTCTTACTGTGTTTTGAAAGTTCTTTATATATTCTGGATACAAGGATATAGAGGTTTTTAGGGCCTTTCTAGTTCAATGACAAAGAAAACATAGAAAAAATGTATATTTAAAGCTCTTACAGCTTTCTGTAAGTATTTACTACTATTAGTAAAGAATAAAAACATCCCGATTTTTTATTTTATTAAAAAATTAAGTTTTAGGATATGCACCCCAGTAACATTCATTCAGAGTAAGTGTTTCCACAGTAAAACTTCTTTTCACAGTGGGACTCCCAGTGTCAGGGCCCAGAGCCGTCGTTTGCTCTGTGGGCCACCGTGTCTGACAAGGCTTTACAGAATGCAGTGGTCACACTTCTAGGGAGCACATTCACCCATGGCAACTGTGAGTTTTGTGTTTTATATGCTGGTATAAATGTCTGTATTTGGTTGGAAACGTGGAATGTTTTTCTACTGATATTTTCTGATTTCGTTATTTTCTGTATTAATAACGTGATGATGATAATGAGGTGCTGGGAGAGGGAAAACTTGAAAACAAACTCCAAATGCCACCATCTTCTGTGTCTGGAAATGGAGGGAGCAGGCGGCCTGGGATGGATCTGGATATCCTGGGAAGGGTTGTTTGGTCTCACGAACGTAAGGCCACTTGGTGTCTGTTGGCTGGAGCGGGTCAGGGTCATTTGTGCCCTGACAGTTGTGCTCCACCGTTGCCCTTGGTCTGCAGAACTAGTGCTGGGAGGCAAGGAAGGCAAGACTGCGGGGAAGCCCTGCAGCATCCTGGGAGGCTCAACACTCGGGAGGATGAATTAGGAGCACCCAAGGGAAGTCCTCTGGGAGAAGGGACACCAGGGGTTCCAAAGGGGCATTGGCCTGATGGTGAAGAGTTGGGGCTGGAGAAGCAGACGGTCCGGCAGGCCCAGTCACCTCCGAGTCAGCTCCCGAGCCAGTGGCTGAGTGTGAGCAAGGTAAGTCCAATGCTCCCTCTGGAGACTCCCCACCCCCTCAGCAGCACGCAGTTGTCTGTATGTGTGGACCAGTGCTCAACAGTGACCAGAGGCCGTGACAGACCATGACTGAGCTCACTAGCCTTTATCATCCTCTCTGGGGTATTTGGAAGAATGTTTCCTCTTTGGACCAAATAAGACCTTGAGGTTCTTGGATGCCTGAAGGCAAGGTGGGGCTTTATATGTCAGCAATTTGACATATGGGGTCTCCAGCAACTAATAGGAAAAAGAAAAGAGGTGGAGCTGTATTTTATACTTGCAGCTGGTGAAGCAGACATGCAGAGATAAACAAATGATGGAAAAGAGGAGTCAGGACATTATGGACTTGTCCACAGCTACCTCCCAAAAAGACCAGAGTCTTTCACGTGGAATCCATGGCCCCCAGCCCTCCAGGCTCACCTCACACTACCCTCCCCCATTCCAGCTGCACTGGTCTCTCCTGCACGCCCACCTCCTCCCTCAGGGCCTTTGCACATGCTGTTTTCTCTGCCTGCAGCATTCTGCCACCAGTTCTTCCCCTGGTCCTGACTTCTTCCCTCTGAGATAGACTGGGATGGTTTGAGTAGGTCTTTTTTTAACCAATCAGAAAACAAGGACACTCTAGACGGGGAGATACCATGACCTGGAGCAAGGTCACTGATGAGAATATGTCAGAAGCAGAGAGTCTTCTCTCTCTTTCTGTATCTGCCCCTGTCCATCCGCCCCCACTGTTCCTCTCCAACTGACCTCTTCCCTGTTCCCTAATTCTGTGTCCTTTTCTCTCTTCCTGGTGTTCAAGCCAGTCTCTGACTCTCTGCCTCTTCCCCCAGGTACGTGGTCCACTTCCCCCTTTCCATCCTTCCCTGTTGGTCCCACATTCCTTATTGTTCCTTCAATGACTGCTTTGTTCCTCCCTGCCTCCTGGGCCCTCAGAGCCTCCCCTGCAGTGTCCTCAGGTCCTATGTCCAAACCCTGCTCATGTGGCCCTCTGCCAGGCCCTCCATTTCCCTCCCTCACCCCAGGGCCCCCGGCTACCGAGGGTGCTGTGGTGAGGTCTTCTTGCTGGAGCTAAACCTTTAACCATCCACTCTCTTAGAACTTGGCTTTTTCTTGGAAATTACCATTCCTCTTGCTCCAGTGAGCCTTCTGCTTTCACGCCAAGGCAAAGTCCAGATTCCATCTTCTTAGGAAGGACCCCTGAGACACAAAGGGCAGGGTTTGGACTCAGATCTCATCATTTCAACCTCTGGCTGCATGTGTGGATCTGGACCCCTGCGTTTTAAATGGTTTTCTGAACCTGTACGCCCTGCTCTGTGGTAGTTGAAACCAACGACTCTTTCTGACCGCCTCCAAGTCAAGCTTGCACAGAGGTTTCAGAGACAAGGAACCCACTCTGGTGAAATCAGGTCAGTTCAGGGAGGGATCTCAAAAACTCAGGGGAAATTGAACCTCAGATGTTGGAAGGACAGGAACCAGGCAGCTCCTCTGTTCTTGCTCCCTCATGTCCCCCCTCTCTCAGGCTGTTTCTCTCCATCTCCCCTGTGTGTTGCATGTAATGGCTGCTCCGTTCCCAAATCTTCAGCTCCCAAATCCTTTCCTTTCCAGTGTCCACCACCCAGTGGCCCTATGTATGTGTGTGTATATGTATATGTGTACAAGTATAGATAAACTTTATAGTTATAAACTGTATCCGGTTTATACATAAGACAGTCCCAAATTCTAAGAGATAGACTCTGGTTATCTCAACATAACTTTCAAGCAAGACTACCATTCGTGGGACCCGTGGATCAGTCTAGTCAGTGGCCAAGGAGGGCCACTATCATCAGACAAGGCCACTTGGGACAGAAATCAGACCTGTGGGCAGGAATTTGTCCAGAGAAGGATGAAGGAGGGTAGACCCCTGAGCCACCCTGAGGTCTGATAACAAGTGCAAACACAGTGAGGACAAGATCATTATAGGACTTTTATTCTCTTCCAATTCCCATTCTGTCAGTAATGACTCAAGAAAAGATACATCTTCCTGGATGGGAGACACGATTTAAGGTTCTGCTCTGAGGACATTGGTGGAAATATGGGTCTATTTAGATAAGAGTTCTTTGTGTGCCTTCCTTTTTAAAGTAAGCATTTTTATTAAGCCAGGGTTGGCTATGGTTCAGAACGGGAAGGAAGGCTAGAGCAGTAATTCCTGACAATATATGACTCAGCGGTAAAAAAAAAAGAAGGAAAACCTGCTGTTTGTGACACATGGATGGACCTTGAGGGCATCATGCTAACTGAAACAAGTCAGACAGAGAAAGACAAATATGTATGACCTCACATGTGGAATCTAAAGAAGCCAAAACCATAGATACAGGGAGCAGCATGGTGGTTAGCAAAGGCTGGGGGTGGGAGAAACGGGATGATGTTTGTCAAAGGGTACAAGCTCCTAGTTATAAGAGAAATGAATTCCAGAGATCTAATGTACAGCATGGTGATTATAGTTAATGATACTGCACTAAATATTTAAAAGTTGCGAAGAAAGTAAATCTTAAATGTTCTCACTACCAAAAAGTAATTGTGTGAGGTGACGCAGGTGTATCATGGTAATCATTTCATAATATATACATGTATCAAACCATCACGTTGTATGCCTTAAACTTACATAATGTTACATGTCAGTTGTATCTCAATAAATCTAGGGGAGAATAACTCTATTTTTTTAAATTAGCATGCATTAACACTTTATTGCTTGGGAAAAAAAAACCTTTATTGCTTGAGCTAAGCTTTACAATTCTGAAACCTTAAACGCTGGAAAAGACAATTGTGAAAACCTTTGTAGAGGTAAGGACTGTCTTTTCAAGGACATTTATAGAGGAAACCGTCTTGGAAGACAGAGAGAGTGTCTCCCTCCAGGGTAGAGGGCAGATTTGCTTGTTGCCCAGGGTAGTAAAGATGTCTCCCTCCAGGGCAAAAATTGGGCAGATTTGCTAGCAGTCCCTTATAAAGTCGAGGGCTCACTAAGCTCAGGGTTCCTCATCTGGGGAATGAATCCACCATGTGTACACTGTAGACCTAGGACCACCTCCTTATCGCCTCTTCAGAATTTGGAGGGAGTGGGAAGCACAACTGATGTAAATGCAAAGCTCATGTTGTCCGACGTGCTGTGAGTAATTAAGTCCTCTGTCTCGGACCCAGGAGTCTGTGTCTTCTGCCGGCATCCACGAAACTGTGACAGGCTAAATCATTAGTCTGTAAGCAGGGTAAAATCTCAGACCTTTCACAGTTCTTGACAGGGTGTGGATGTATAATTTCATGAGACAGAGGTGGGTATCCAATCTGCAGAATATCCTCAATTTACTCCTTCAGCTCCACTCTGCATTCCTTTGTCTTGCTCTGCCCTGGGAGGCCAGGAGACTGATCTGCCAAAAAAGAATTTTTTTTTTAATTGAAGTACAGTCGGTTGCAATATGTCAATTTCTGGTGTGCAGCACAATGTCCCAGTCATGCATACACATACGTATATTCCTTTTCTTGTTCTTTTTCACTAGAGGTTACTATGAGATATTGAGATAGTTCCCTGTGCTTTGTGGAAGTTGGTTTTTTTTATCCGTTTTATATATAGTAATTAATATTTGCAAATCTCAAACTCTGAACTGAAAAATAATTCTTGATAAAAGAAACAAACCTTAGGCCCCATAGGAGTTGACATGTCAGGGCTAGGGCGTGGCGTGACAGCTGAGCCAGGGGCCTGAAGCTCTGAGCAGGATCCTTGCCTTATGCTGAGCTGTCATTTGTCACTGAGCCCCGGGCTCTCGCACTGACAGCAGCCTCTGCTCTTGACCTTCAATTCCTGCTTGTAAAAAAATCCACATGTGGCTGCCCACGGGGAGGAAGCAACTGCGGCCATGACTGACCAGCCTGTTATAGGAAGACAGAAATATGAGTTTGGCTCAAAGTATAGGGAGCCTCACCTCGCATTGGTCACAGGTAACACTTGGGCAAAATAACTACTGTTGAAGCGGCCTGCAAAGTTATTTACATATGTATTACCCCATTTAATCATCACAGCAAATCCGTGAGGTGACTGCTGTTGTCTTTCAAAAGAGGAAATAGGATCTGCGAGGTCAATGAACTCCCACAAGCTTACAAAGCTAGTTTGTGGGGTTTGCAGCCAAGCCCCAAAGTTTGCATTCCTACCCACTGTTAGAATGACTTTGTGGATTGTGGTCGTGTTTATATCCGCTGTGCTTTGATTCTTCTAAGGTATTCTGTTTTCAGCTATAGCAAAATGATGTACACTAGAGTGGAACTGATGTGGTGGAGGAAGTCAATGATGGGAATACTTTTTTTTAACCCCCCAAGCCCTCTCATTATAATTAGATTCCCAAGTTCAATAGGCAGAACCCTAAAACTTTGCATTAGACATTTTATATCCTAAGCATACAGTCTCTTGGCCCTATGCCTCCAAAGAGATTCCATTCTGTGAGTAAGACAATACTGCTTATCCTTTTTAGCACCTCAGGCAGGTGTAGATTCATGTGCAATGAGAAGGATGAGCACCCCCGCTCATGGTGGCTCTGGGCACTTGCCTGTCATTGCATCCACTGGATGTATGCTGGAGCACCCCCACAGATCTGTGTCGATGACTGTATATTCAACACAGCATTTATTAAAAAGGAACAGCCCCCACAGCATGGTTGAGAGGTCTTTAAAGCCAAGTAAACAAATGCAAACTCAGCGGTTACTTAGTACTTCATGTCTGGGCATCCGTGGACCATATGGACAGTGAGCAGATGTCCATGGGATGGAAGACATCTTCCAGAGGGAAATGTTCTCCAGGAGCACTCTGTCCCCTGCTCAGACAGAACAAAGCAGCTATAGCCCCACATCTGGGCTAGATATTTGAAGTGTGAAGGATCTGCCCACCTTCCCCACACTTGTTTGCATCAAGAGTGTTAATGAAAGCTTTTACAACATCAGCATGATACTTAGGAAGTCACAAAATGACTGGTTTTTAAATCAGTTTTATTGAGTCAGTATAATTTAGTACATGCAGTAAAATTCACCTTTTCCAGGACTGCCGGTCTATGAATTCTAACAAACCCATATAGTCATGTAACCAGCACCATAATCAAGACAGAGCGTTTCCATCTTTGCGGAAGTTCCCTCTCGCTCCTTTGTAGTGAATCGCTCTCCACCCCCAGTCCCTGGCACCCACGGATCTGTTCTCTGTCCCTCGAATTTTGCTTTTTCCACAATAAATGGAATCGGTGTGTAGGCATTTGAGTCCGGCCACTTTCACTGGGTACCATGGTGGTTTTTGCGTGTGTCAATAATTTGCTCCTTTCTATTGTTGAGTAGTATCCTTTTGCCTTGGATGTAGTATATAATTTATCTGTTCACCAGTTGAGTGGCATTTGGGTTTTTTCTGGTCTGGGGTCATTATAAATACAACTGCTATACGTCTTTACATACAGCTTTTTGTGTGGATGTCTTGCACTTCTCTTGAGTAAATACCTAAGAGTGGGATTGCTGGACTGTGCAGTAAGTGTATGTTTACACCAGGGCAACGTATGAGAGGTCCAGCTGCTCCCCTTCTTTGTCAACCCTTGGTGCTATCCATAGACTGACTCTAAAAACAGTTTAAAGTCATTACTAACAATGAGCAGAGTTTGTTTTGTTTTGTTTTCTACAAGCAAGGCTTCTCTCCAAAGAAGTTAATAGTGAGATAAATTATTTTTCTGGGTCATTGCATTAAGTATGGCTTTTCCCTCTTTATCATATAATTCAAACTCTTACAACCAACATCCTTGATACCTAAGCAGTAAGTAGGTTCACAATTGATTTTGTGTTCAAGGGGTATTTTTAAACACTCAAGTGAAGTTGCATTTTCATTAAAAGGAAGCTTCCAACTTCCTTAATGCTATTTTGAAAAGAATGTGAAGATTCCTGTGCTCTGGGGAAAACCAAAACCATAATTAGAACAACGGTAACCTTGGACTGTTCTCATTTCTCTTGCAGGAAATGGCTTTTTTTTAAATTTTGCCATCTATATTGATACATACGGACAATCAGCTTCTAGAACTCTCACAACCAGTTTAGAATACATATTGAGTGGCCCCCAATTTGCCTCTAATTCTCCTCACTGCCCAAGCCAACTGATTTTTTTTCCCTGTCAATCCAGGCATGCTACAAACTAATTTTAAATAATTAGCATTAGTCCAAAGGGAACATAATTAAAGAATCGACTGTAATCAAAGTAATTATACAAACCAGTATCAAGACAAAGACTCACAGCTTGAAATACTTACCATCTTCAGAGCATACATGGGGTGGTTCTTCGTCACCCAGGGAAATTGAGAGTAACGTGAGGTGTGTCAGCCACAGGGTGACAGGGAAACACATGGAGAGCCACCGAGGCGGGACTCTCCCTCTCTCCCTGGCCACAGTTCACAAACCAAGCAAACGGTATTGGTAAAGTCAGCACCTTACAATTAAAACAAGGAGGCTTCTTTCTGTAAAGACTTTAACTAATTGTCCCTGGTAGAATTGTTGAATGTTTGAATCATTAGGTAGACGAAGGGCTACTGGGCTAGTCTCGCTAGAATGGCCTCTACATGGGCACGTTGTCTTCAGGGACCAAAGGCTGTCCCACAAATTGTCAGTCAGGTTCTGACTCCGAACTACTGAAGCCCTGTAGAAGGTGAAAGTTTCACATGTGGCTGTAGCCCTCACAATATCCCTCAGAAGTCCAGCAGAATTACTTGTTTCCTCAGCAACAGATCCCCCCAAAAGAGGGCAGTATGGGGAGGGAGTGGAACTCATATTGGTTTAGCAGCTACTATGTGTAGGTAATTTGTGCTGGAGTCTGTTTCATGAATTTTCAGATTTCATTCTACCAACCACCTCGTGAGGAAAGTTTTATCTCCTGTAACTACTTATAGCTGGGAAACTGAGGCTCAGCAAGGTTGATTAACTTACTCATGTTGCTAAGTAAGTGATCAAACTCAGTCCCACCAGATCTGACTCCAAAACATATTCTTTTCCCACCACCCCACGACTGCCTCCCCAAAGACCTGACAGCACCCCTTAAAAGTCCTGCCCTCACTTGGGATCCCAGGAGCACACAGGGTGCCCGGTTAAATTTTCAGATAACAACTAATACATTATTAGTATTTGTATGTCCCAAAGATTGCATGGGGCTTGAAGATTCTAAAAATGATCCCTTGTTTATCTGAAATGCAAATTTAACTGGGCATCCTACATTTCTGTTTGCTAAATCTAGCCACCCCGACCCTAACTGATGCCGTCATGGAGATACCAGTATTCTGCGGTCACTTTCACATTATATCATTGCAAAAAGATTTCTTCCTGTTGTGTATTTTGGGTGATGGAGTGAGGAGGAAGGGCAGTAAGGGAGCCCTCTGAGCATGATCACGTGTGGGAAATTAACAAGCATTTCCCTCCTTAAGGATCATGGAACTATAATCAGGGCAAGAAAATGCCCCGCTGGCCGAGTGGATTGCTGCGATCCCCACGTGCCTCGTTTAGAGCTGTGCAAAGTTTGTTTTTGTGGCGTCCTGGCCCATGAGCAGTGTTGGGAAATGCTGCATTCAGCACCCCCTGGGCGAGTTCTGGAGCACATTAGATCACAGCCAGTCCTAAGAAAGCCTACAGGAAAGGCTGCCATTAACTTTCTGGAATTGAGAGCTTGTCAGTCTCTGTGAATAGAACAGTTGGAGCCCCTGCCTGTGGCATGAGTGGAAACTCAGTCCTTCCTCAGGTTCTGAGTGTTTCTGAAAATCCTCAAGGAAAACGTTTATATGTTCCTTTTTATTTTAGGGGGATGGGTCTCAGAATGGAGTTGAGTCAGTGGTACAGTCTATAAATCCTTAGAGGTATCAGCTCTCTGGCCTGGACTGTCTCCATCTACACCACCACTTGCCACCTCATCACCTCCTTGCCCAGGCTGCTGGGCTCTCCCATACTGTGCATAGACACCAGTCTGCTCCTTAATTTTCCAGCATAGAAAAGACAATCAGTCTTGGAAACCAGATGACTCCTAGTGTGCTAGTAGGCATCTAACAACTGGCTGGAGGGGGCTGATTCCTAGTCGTCGCACTTCCCGTGATGTGAATCCCACCGTGGTCAATTTTGGGCTGCCAGCTGTGATGTCACTGAATGGGAGCTGGGAAGACATGCACAGTGGCACACACTGTATAACCCTGTGTAGTATTTCC